CTTGACCGCATGTACGCACTGGGGTCCCCATCTTAAAAAAGACCTTGTGTCACAACTCGTCTTAGTGGGGGGGGGAAGCAGAGTAAATACCTAGCAGTCTCCAATCTTTGGTCGAATATGGATCAAATCGTGACTCGTGTGAAAAAAAATGTCCGTCGAACCTTCTAAAATCTACCCCCCAATCAATCCACAACGTTCTCTGTTAAATGTTGATTGTTGTATGGTGAGTTTTTTTCTTTTTGTCCTGTCATAATAACCCACGTGATTAACAAGCAAACTGCATTTAGTGCAATTTCCCACCACCGTAACGTAGCTTCCCTGTGACTTTCTACAAATATTTTTCGATGAGTTTTCCTCTTTGGTACCTCATCTAAATGCCTAGTACCAGATTGGCATTTAGGTCCCATCACCGTACTTTTGAAACTGATAAATTTAACCGTGAGTTTTATTCTAATAGTTTCTTCTCTCGCACTTCTCGCCTGTGGAACTCTTTTCCAGCTTCTTGCTTTCCTGTCAATTACGATCTTCAAAAATTTCAATGCAACTTCAATCGGCATTTCCTGTTTCATTGAATCCTGTTCTTTTTATTGTCCTTTCACTTCAGTAACGTTTTCTCGGTCTCCTTCACTATTGTATTTCATCCACTGTAACCCCTTGCTTTCCTTTTTCTTGTCCCTATTAAGATGACTTGAATTGGAGACAGTGGCTTTCGTTCCTTTATTAGTATAGATACGTAAATAAGTTGTACTTACAGCCATATCACGTTGAAATACTGTAAGCTTGGATGTGCGGGTGGTGTAATGGATAATGGCTCGGAATTGTTAATCGGAGAGCAGAGTTCCAATTCCAGTTGGGTTCGTTATATTCACTTACGCTCAAATACCATTGGGAAAGGTATGAATCCACCTCTACTGCCCCCAGATATGGGTTAATTAGTAAGACTTGTATCAATAAATCGTTGTTTCAAAAAATTCTTACAGTGTAAGAATATTTTCTGGCTTTAAATAACCTACAAATGGTTAAGCCGTAGCAAATCGATGTAAATAAGTGAAAACTGTTTTCTAACTTGATTTTAAGGCATCAATCAATTATTTAATAAGTGGTTGATGCTGCTCTTTCATGTAAGTTCTAAAAAATCTGAACAACGATCAAATAAGAATAAATCCGTGCTATTCTATGAGACGTGTAGAACGATACGCCCTCTCTTTCACAAGAAGGCACAAGAGATAGAAACGTATAACTGTAAAAATAAATTCCCCCCAGACAGATTTTAAATATTTGAATTTGTGTAAATAAAGAAAGCAAAACATAGTTGAGGGTAACTAGACAATTTATCATCAGTGCCATGGACCGGGGTGTAATCGTAGGGTCGCTGTTTAGCTGAGCAACGGCCCTTTTCCCTTCCCATATCTGGGTTAGAATCAAGAGGTATTCATTGACGCGTCACGCCTCTTGTGCAAGCAGGCCTGGCCGAACACATTCCTCGACAGGTAAATAATTTATATAGAATACAATTTAAATAAAGATATAATAGTTAAATAAAGGAGTTCGAAATACATTGTAAGAAAGAAAATCAGAGAAAAAAGAAGAGGCCGTTATACAATTCACGTGAAAGGATAAAAAAAAAGAAAGAAAAGAAACATTATTAAGGAGAGACAACAACAAAAGAATTAAAAAAGACAATAGATAACGATTGACATTGAAATTAATTTTTTTAAGATAAAAGTTGGCTTGAAAGCATGGCACCGGAAGAGAGTTCTAACAACGAGAAAAGAAGCTGTTAGCATATAACTTAGGGTTGTATCTAACCAATTTAACTGTAAACTGATGAAACTTTTTGATAATCTAGTACTGCGCTTATATTCATAAAATTTAGATACCCTAGCGGAAAGTTCACCAAAACAATTAAAAACGTCAAGTATAGAAAAAGAATATAATCAACAGTCCTTTAAAAATACTGTTCATGCAGGGTAGAATTAGTGAAAACGAGATCTCTATGAATAGGCAGATTGCAAAAAAGAACCTAAAACTATAGGAGCCATCATTCCCAGAATCGATCCTTCATATTTTTATATCGAACACGTGAGTAAATTTGTAAACACCCCCACCTCAGAAAATATCCGCTTTCCACAGATTTTACAAGGCAGATTTTGAATGTTGTATTTTCTCCGAGTTTTTATTTAACTGGCACTTTGTTAATTTAGTGTCTGGCAGTTGTAAATAAGTGAACTTGATCGGTTTGTTTTTACGGTTTATCAACCCATTATAGGTTATTTAAAAGGCAGAAAATATTTTTCGGAGCTTAAGAGATTTTGGAGATAATGATTTACTGATGCAAGTCCTACTAATTAACCCATAGCTGGGGGAGAATTAGATTCATACTTTTCCCAACGGTATTTGCGCGTAAGTGAATATAACGAACCCAACTTGGAATTGGAATTTTGCTTTCCGATTAAAAATTTCGAGCCGTTATTCATTACACCGTGCACACACCCAAACTTACAGAACCGGGTATTGCCAAGCGATCACCCATCTAGTTACTGATCAGGCTCGGTGTTGTTTAACTTCAGTGATCATATGAAAACCAGTGTTTCAATGTGATATAGTCGTAAAGTCTAAATCATTGCGAAAACAGTTTACTAAAGACACTGTACGCCGTATTAACCTGATTGCTTAATGCGCAATAGTTAATCAATTATTGAAAGGCAGCAAATAATTACGTGAACTTTGGCTAAACCCGTTACATTTTTTTTACGCATGGTTAATATTTATTGTGTAGGTATGAACAGAATTAGTAATCTTTATAATTTTCGCATTATTTTACGGATAACAATATACACGATACTGTAATCATAATCTTACATCAATTTGCTCTTTACTTGAAATGGAAACTGAATTAAATACCACCGTAGCAGGCTCGGAGTGCAATAACTGAACAGTTGAAAGGAAGAAGGAAGAAAGAAAAGAAAAAAAAAAGCAAAAAGAAAGAAAAAAGAAAAAAAAAGCAAAAAAGAAAGAAAAGCAAGCAAAAAAGAAAGAAAAGCAAGCAAAAAAGAAAGAAAAGCAAGCAAAAAAGAAAGAAAAGCAAGCAAAAAAGAAAGAAAAGAAAAGCCAAAAAAAAAAGCAAAAAAAAGCCAAAAAGAAAGAAAAGCCAAAAAGAAAGAAAAGCCAAAAAGAAAGAAGCCAAAAAGAAAAAAGCCAAAAAGAAAGAAGCCAAAAAGAAAGAAGCCAAAAAGAAAGAAAAGCCAAAAAGAAAAAGCCAAAAAAAAAAGAAAAGCCAAAGAAAAGCAAAAAAGAAAGAAAAGCCAAAGAAAAGCAAAAAAGAAAAAAAGAAAGAAAAGCAAAAAAGAAAGAAAAGACAAAGAAAAGCAAAAAAGAAAGAAAAGAAAAAGAAAAGCAAAAAAGAAAGAAAAGAAAAAGAAAAGCAAAAAAGAAAGAAAAGAAAAAGAAAAGCAAAAATAGAAAAAGTATAAAAAGAAAAATAGAAAAAGTATAAAAAGAAAAATAGAAAAAGTATAAAAAGAAAAAGGGGGGGGATACATGGGAAGTAACTCTTCAGTTCGACATCAGCCCCGTCATATTTACCTTGAGTCTCCTGTTGTGGAGTGGTGATGAGTTACAAACTCGTCTCGCAAACTATTATCACTAAGCTGAGTTCATTTCCCGGAAAGTGTGCCACTCTTTTACTCTTGTATCAAACTCAGTTGAACTTGTCAAGGTGTAATGACGACACTTTTAGTGAGTTTCACCTTGCTGGGTGTCATCCACAGTTGTGACCTTGTGCCAAACTGTTGAATTATAATATCTAATACTTAACCTTGATAGATGCGTATTTACTATTTTGAATATTGATTTCCGGAAGATTGTATAGAGATAGTCTTCTTTTTCTTATTGATCCGAGTTCTATTAACCTAAAACTTACTGAGATATTGATAGTCTTGATCATGTGAAGTGACAGCTAAATGTTGACCAGGCATTTGCTTTCAGCGTCTACTGGGACTCAAGTTTACCTCAGACCTATAGTCGAACTCATCCATACGATCTATTGTTAAAGAGGCTAGAAAATAATAGACAGTACTGTATACCGCGTCTGAAAGTACATGACTCTACCTACCACGTTCTATCATGAAATATTGCTTCGATATCTCGGCTGGAGCTTCCCAATATTTCTTTAACGACTCGCCAAAGTTCAAAAGCGACTTCGTGGCCTTGTGAATGATGAATTATTTTCCATCCTACAACCTCTTTCTCTACAGAGACAACATCGTATACCTCTCACTATTCTATCGCTATTTCCATGGCAAAAGTTTTTTTTACGAATTACATTCATTAGTTCTACTGGGTCAGATCTTTATAGCTGATCAACCATGCCATGTAAACAGGGGTGGGGTGCAAACCACCTTAATTCACTTCGTATTTCATTGGTAAAGAGGAAGTTCCCAAGAGCAGCTGCTTTGTGGAAGAAACTTCCCCGAACACTACAATCTTAGCTTCTTTAAGTCTAGGGTCAACCGTTGTCTATCCTACATATCCTTATAATCTACAGTTCTTACGTCCATAAAACAAATCCATTCAGTAATCCTACACCTTTACTGGTTCTTGGGTTTTGTATTGGGTGAACAATCGTGTAAAAAGTTAAATACGTGTGTAAAACAACGTTTTTATCGATTTAAAAAAAAAATTGTTACAGCATTTGACCGAAAACATGGCCAAAATGTTAAGGCGATTTCAAATGTTCAGACAAAAATGTGGATATTTCTATTCCTTCCGATAATACAAAGAGACAATGGGTTCACTCTGTCCCTAGTTTCGCCTTCATTTGGCTTTGGAAAGATCCATACCGCACAGTCAAGAAGGACTGCCTGACTTGTGAGCTCAGAATTCAAAATATTGACCTTTTAGCAGGACTCGGACATTGTACAAAATATCAAGCCAAACGTTTCCACTAAAAATTATAATTTGTTAAATTTAGTCTAGTTTGTTTCAAGTCCACATTGTGAGAAGAATACTGTTTCAATACTGACGTGAAGAGGGTCTGCAAAACCTTGAAAGTTAGCGTTTGAAATCTTAACTTGGATTTGAACTCTGTCCCTAAGTTACAATTCAAAGATACAACAATTTTTGACACCACCAAACTCTTTCAGAAATATGTAAACTGTTAGCTTTCTGTGATCAATGATTAAAATGGCTTCAAGCGAATGAACACTATAGGGTCCTAGTGACGATCATCTTTCTTCGTGGACTGGTGCTACAGAATCAAACAAATAAGTTTCCCAAATAACAGAAATCACATCACTTTCGGTGGAATAATGGATAGCAGCTTGGATTGAGGAATCGAAGAGCCGAGTTCGAATTCCAGTCGAATCCATTAGATTCACTTACGTGCTAATACCGTTGGGAAAGGTATGAATCCTCCTCTTCTTCACCATCTATGGGTAAATAACAGGGCAGACCGAACTGCCCTCTTATTTACTGTAGATTATAAGGATATGTAGGATAGACAACGGTTGACCCTAGACTTAAAGAAGCTAAGATTGTAGTGTTCGGGGAAGTTTCTTCCACAAAGCAGCTGCTCTTGGGAACTTCCTCTTTACCAATGAAATACGAAGTGATCGAATTGCCTTGGATGGCAATTGGTCTACCGCAGAAAGAAATGGCAACCTACTGCAGGAAAGAAATCTGTCTCGTCAGTCATGTGTCGAAAGATACATGATCGCCTGAGCGTGTATCACGCATGGCTCATAAAGAGAGGGGACTTTCAACGACAGCAACAACTAAAATTAATGTAAATCTAGGAGGAAATCATTACAGAATCAAGATGCTGACATTCCACATTTTCAAATAAAAGGCTAGGAAGGAAACCTCCATCAATACTGGAGAGAGCAATAACAGTGATTTGAGAAACTGATTTTACTGAAAAATTGTTTTAATAGAATTATATAAATTTCAACCGACAGTAGTAGTGGCTGCTCAGTCAATAAATGCCGAATGTTTCTTTATAAGGAAACGGCTAATATTATCATTACTATCAGCAGTCTCGATGCGTGGTCTTTAATCTCACTCATGATTTGACATTATTTTCAATTGAGGCTATGGAAAAAGCCAAAAGCTGCAAAGAGTGATCGGGAGCTGACAGATCTGAATAACAGATTTTTTGCAGAAAAATAAAAATCCCCAAAACTAGTACGAGACATCACTGTGATGGCGACAGTCAAATAGTATCCAATTGAATCAATCTTGCGCATGAACAGTAAGCCCTTCCTTAACTGGTTGCCAAATCACTTCAAGACTGATTCAAAATAGCTGGATACTTTCCAGACAGAAATCGTATGCTTTGCAACAAAGCTTAATCCGAACTTGATTGCTTGCCCGATATATTTTTTTTTGTTTGGTTTTATTTTATTTCATTCTTAATGGAAATTTCATATTATTGATTTTAGACGTTATGAAAACGGCACATGACTCTTGATCAAAGAACCGAAATAAAACTCTTGGTCATAGCAATTCTAACATATAAACTATGTTCCTTGTGTTCTCCCTTTGTATCGCACCCGGGAATGATCAGAAGAAACCGTTAAACAAAAGTTCAGTCAGAAACGAAGCATTTATTTTGCAGAAGAATTCAAAGTCTATGCAGATCGGCGATAAAAAGGTTAAACACAGCTCAATTTTTTGTGCATATACAGTGGAACCCGGATATAAGAGAAACCCGGATATAAGAGATTTTCTCTGGTCCCAAATTAGAGCCTGTGTTAATGTATATAAAATAGACCAAACCCGGATATAAGAGAAACCCGGATATAAGAGAGATTTTCTCTGGTCCCAAATTAGAGCCTGTGTTAATGTATATAAAATAGACCAAACCCGGATATAAGAGAAACCCGGATATAAGAGAGATTTTCTCTGGTCCCAAATTAGAGCCTGTGTTAATGTATATAAATAGACCAAACCCGGATATAAAGAAAACCGGATATAAGAGATTTTCTCTGGTCCCAAATTAGAGCCTGTGTTAATGTATATAAAATAGACCAAACCCGGATATAAGAGAAACCCGAATATAAGTGACTTCTTCTCCGGTCCCGACATCTCTTATATCCGGGTTACTTCCGTCTCTCATCTACATTTTATTATATATGCAAGCAAGACTTTTCAGCTAACCCGCTTTTTGTTTTTCAAGAATTCTATATCCAGTTTGTTAAAACAAAAAAAACAAAACAAAAAACCCCAAAACAAAAAACAACCCCCCCACCCCAAAAAAAAACAAAAAAAAAAAAAAAAAAAAAAAAAAAAAAAAAAAAAAAAAAAAAAACGTGAACTTTTGCATATACAGTGTAACCCGGATGTAAGAGAGATGTCGGGACCGGAGAAGAAGTCTCTTATATCCGGGTTTCTCTTATACCCTGGTTTGGTCTATTTTGTTTAGATAAGTATGGGCTCTAATTTGGGACCAGAGAAAATCTCTCTTATATCCGGGTTACACTGTATCTAAAATAAAACCTTTTGATGATCCAGTGGATATTCGCATTCATTCCGACATAAAAAATGGTGCTTTAAATCTTCTTGTAAAGGAATTTTTTTCTTTTGCCAACTCGTTTAGTTTCGAGCCTCGAT